TTAGCCGGGCCCCTCCCCACTCTGTGTGCTCAGGACAGGGCTGAGGCGTGTCTTCTACAACACTGGTAAAATTTTTAAAACTATATTATTCTAGAACAAAACCCAGTAGGTTTTCAGAATCTATAAGTTGACACGCTTTGCACTGTTAGGGGATCCTTACAGAAACAGTTGAAGTATTTTAAATGTTATAGTTTAAATTTTCAGGAAATGTAATAATGTTGAGGAAGATGTGGGGAAAAGACATTCTTCTTTGTTGCCGTTGGGAGAGTAAAATTGTACAACTTCCTATGGAGGGCAATTTGGCAATATTTATCACAACTTTGACCTAGAACTTTTCCCTACAGATACACTAGCATGTACACATGACATGTTTACGAGGCTACTAATTGAAGTATTGTTGGTTAATAGCAAAAGACTGAAAGCAACCAAAATTCCATCAATAAGATACTAGCGAAATAAATTGTGGTGTATCCGTAGTTTGCAATACTGCTCAAGATATGTATATTATTAGGTTTAAATAATCAAGGTTTAGAAGAGTATATATAGTATTTTACTATTTGCATGAAAAAGGGGTGGGGAGATAAAGAATATATACATCACTTGTGCATAGGATATCTCTAAAATGAATCATAATATAATGACAACATTATTTTTGAGGAAGGAAACTGGGTGGCTGGGAGATAGTTTTTTCATTTTATTCTTTTGTAACTTAAGAATAATGTGAAAGTGCTACCTATTCAAAACAATTTTATGAAAATTTTATTTTCAACCAAGCTGAAAGCAGAGAAAGGATGGTATTTTCAACAAATGGTGCTGGAATAATTGTATATTCATGTGCAAAAAGAAAACAAAATCTTTGATCCATACCTCACATAATGTATAAAAATTAACTCAAAATGGATCATAGATCTGAATGTAAACCTTCAAACTGTAAAACTTCCAGAATAAAATCCTTGTGAACTTGGGTTATGTGAAGAGTTTTTAAGATTTGACATAAAAAGCATGATCAATAAAGGAACAAAAATGGACTTTATCAAAATTGAAAACTTGTGCTCTTCAGAGGCATTAACAGAGTGAAGAAACAAGCTACAGACTAGGAGAAAATATTTGCAAATCACATATCTGATTAAGGCCTTATCTCCTGAATGTATAGAAAAATTCTCAAAACTCACTAAGAAGAAAAGTACCCAATAAAAAGAATGTGCAAAGTATTTGAATAGATATTTCACCAAAAAAAAAAAGATATACAGATGGTAGATAAGCATGAGAAAAGATGTTGAACATCAGTCACTAGAGAAATACATATAAAACCACCATAAAACCACACATGAATTAGTACAACCACTTCATAAAATAATTCCTTATTTTCTTTAAAAGTGAAACATACTACCCCATATGACGCAGCTGGTCTACTCCTAAGTATTTACCAAACATGAGACTTCTTTTACTATTTTGGCAATATGCTGTGAGCCTATAATTATTTTGAAATAAATTTGAGAGTAATATTTAAAATAGTATGATTATCTGAAATGATTATGGATCTACTAAAAGTGTTTCAAGGATCCAAAGTTCTAATATGTCAAATTAGGATTTATTCTGCTATAAAACTATTTCAGTACTTATTCATCTTTGCTTTTATTTTAATTTGTGCATTTGTTATATATATGGATCTACTAAAAGTGTTTCAAGGATCCAAAGTTCTAATATGTCAAATTAGGATTTATTCTGCTGTAAAACTATTTCAGTACTTATTCATCTTTGCTTTTATTTTAATTTGTGCATTTGTTATATATTCAAAAGGAAGCTAGTTCCAGATAACCAATTTCCCCTTCCTTTTACATTTCAGCTTCATAGATAGTCTTATGCTCCCTGTCCCTGTGTTTTCATGGAAAGTGACTAATGTATCAGGTTTGCTCATATTTATTCACACAGATATTTTTCTAGTAGTTTTCTTTAAAGGGATAAGTAGCTAATAAAGATAGGTTTTATTTATAGTAGTGGATAAACATATTTAATTAGACATTTTCAGTTTGGTTTCTAAATTGCTGTGTCTTATTCCAATCATTGTTTTGGAAAGTCATTTATTATTTCCTTTCTTCTACTAAGGTGAAATCCATTCTTGAAGAAAATGAAGAGGAGCTATCTCGAGCAGTGAAGTGTCGTGATACAACCATGAAAGAGAATCAGAAGTTGAAAGAGGACCTTGAGGCTTTGGAGGACAGGGAAAACAAGAAGGTAAGGCATCAGTCTTTTCTGAAAGCCTGTTACTGAGATAAAGCACTTCTAAAATCTTTCATGGACCCCTATTCGTTAATTTCTTGTTTCCATTAATAAGGAAAAATGAGGCTTGATCAGAGAAGCAACTTCTTTTGCTAGAGAAAAGATAGCTTCAGAATAATTTTTAAGAATTTCCCTTACAAATACATTATATATAACTCCCAGTGGGTTTTTTTGAACTTTCTATCTTAAAATAAACAAAAGAATAAGTCCTATTTTTTTCTATTGAAACACATGTGACCTTGATAATAATAACCTTCATACTTGTGTTTTATTAACACGATATAACATTACTATGGTGCTTTCTCCTTAACAGTGTGTGTGCTTAGTGGGAACAGAGGTCACACCCCAAACTTCTCTTGGACAGCAGGTGCTAGATTTAGCCTCTCTAAGGAGGGCTGTGAGTTACATCATTCTTCAGCAGCTTCTACTTTCTGGGATAGTCTTTTTTCCCTTAGATAATTCTGATGGAGATGTGCTCTCCTCTTCTGACCTCATCAGAAGACAGCTCAGAGGCTAGCCTGGGACCACCTCTGGACCCAAGAATTTGTTGACCCTGATGTCTCCAGTTAATGTGTCCTGTGACATGACAATAGTTGGGAAGCTCCATAAGGTCTGGGGTCTACTTTTATTTTTCTCAAAGTCACAGTAACTTAAGAAACAACATAAAAATAAATATACCTTAATTATTTCTCTTAGCATTCCACCATGCCTGCTTTTCACACTCTTTCCTAGCAGTAATAGGATGCAGAAACAGAAGCGTAACCAGAAAGGATCAAATATCTTTGTTTTGTTTCATTTTCTGTTAGTTGGGAAACTTTCAGCGACAATTGGCAGAGGCTAAAGAAGACAACTGCAAAGTTACAATCATGTTGGAGAATGTGCTGGCTTCTCACAGTAAGATGCAAGGTGCTCTGGAGAAAGTACAAATAGAGCTTGGGCGGAGGGATTCAGAGATTGCAGGCCTCAAGAAAGAAAGGTACCTGTGATTGTGTTGCTGCGTTGTATTAAGGAGCAGTGTCCAGTCAGAAAATGAAATCACTTTGTGTTGCTTCCTTTGTGAAGGACTAGTAAAATGGTGTTTCAAGAACTAGGAAGTTAGGGAAAATCTAGAATTAGAAATAAACATGATTTCCAGAAATTCAAAATTCCCCTGTATTGTACTGATGTGAAAGAGTATGTAACCTAGAAATCCACATGATATATTGCTGTTTTACCCTTGCTGCTTTCTACACCATTTAAACCCAATTCTTTCCTTGGGTCCACTGAATAGTAATTGTTAAGATCATTGAAGCTAAATGCCTACTGTAGTTTGAGTTAATTATCTATTTATTACTATCCTCTTTCAACATTAATAATTATTTTAGGTGAATCTTTCTAAGAACTACTTCTAGCCATGTTTTCTAAGTAAACTCCTTTGAATGTTTCAGATTCCTTTTAGGTTAAAGAACGAATGGTCTGAATTTTTAAGGGCCTCTATAATATAAAATGTGTATTAGTGATGAATATTATATTGCCTCTGTGTTATGAGAGAACATGTGAGTTTTATTTTCATCATTGTGCTTTTCTTTACTTTTTACATAGTATAAAAGTATATTTCTTTTAAATTTAGAAAAGGTCAAAGGGACAGTATTACAAATATTATTTACCATTTACAATAAATTTCTAGTTAGCTGTTGTATTTAGAAGCAAAAATGTCAATAGCAAGCCAATCCTGGTAGAGGTGATTTTTTTTTTTTTTTTTTTTTTTATAATGATATGTGTGGTGTAAAATTACCAGCCCTACGTTAGTCAGAAACGTGTATTGGTAATTTGATGTATCAAGCCAAATTGAATCATGATGGGACAAGTTATTAAATTCCTAGGAGCCTTAGTTTCTTAACCTGAAGCTGAGGATATTAATTCTCATCTATGAACTCTGATATTTTGAACATTGTTGGCATATTATGTCTGATGCTATTTGAGCTTCTTGGAAGAAGAGTGTCCTGTAATTCCTAGGATGTTACCATTTCTAGGTGATTCTTTTCTATAGTCACTCTTTTTGTGCTATTTTTAGGGCTCTAAATCAACAGAGGGTGCAGAAGCTAGAAGCCGAAGTGGACCAGTGGCAGGCCAAAATGCTTGTTGTGGATGCCCAGCACAGCAGTGAGGTAGAGGCCAGGTTTTTATAGATAACCTTAATATTTTTAGTTTTATTGGGATATTACTATTTTGGAAAAATAAAGTGAAACAATCAGGTAAATTTCCTTTTTATTCAAGTCTGAGTTTTGGACAGTGACTTATTTACAAATGGAAAATGGACCTATAGTCTTACAATGAGTCACTTAGTGGCAAGCCAGTACCACAGTTATACTAATTCTCTTTTTTTATATGGTTCATATTCTTCTCACTTATTAATGTACAAATGATTCCAGAAGTTAAAGAGCTTAGAAAATAGCTTATAAGCTCAGTAAGAAGTAGTTATTAATAAGACATATACAAGCGTGTGTTCACAGGTGTATGCACAACCATGAATATGTACACATACACATATACATAAAACACACATGGATATTTCATATACATAAGCTTTTTCTGGAAGAATATACAAGGAAGTGTTGCTAGTTATTATTTCTATCGAGTGAGAGCAGAAGGTCATAGGATCAGGAAGGAGAATTTAACTAGTTTAAAATTTTTAAAATTAGGATAAATTAAACTTGCTCTATTTTCCAAAGCCCCCTGGTGACCAGTAGAGCATACCCTTACCATTACATTCTAATAGTCTCCTAAGCAATGTATTTAATAAGTTCTCACATATATATTCCAGCCACCTGGAATCTTTGCTTCTGGTTCCAACTAACTATTGTTTCGATGGCACTTGGTACGACATAAGGAGTGAATATATAGTGTTATGGATTTCTTGCCTCTGTTACAGTGAAATTAAAAACACTCTTCTCTCTTTCAGATGGAGCCTCTACAAAAAGCTCTAGATATAGCTAGAGAAGACAACAGGAAACTGGCCATGAGTCTGGAGCAAGCTCTCCAGACAAATAATAATCTGCAAACAAAGCTAGATCACATTCAAGAAAAACTGGAAAACAAAGAACTAGAGAGACAGAATTTGGAAACCTTTAAGTAAGGGCAGTATGGTCATAGTAAAATTAGGGAAGGGCTTCTGAAGGAATAAGTCTGGCTTATTCACATAAATCAGTTAAACTCTCTTCTCCTACTTTGACCTAGTACTCCCAAGCAGAGCCATGTTAAGGAACCAGGCATAGCTGAGCAGCCGCAGTGAAAGCTGCCTGGGGTATGCTCATTTGGCTCTCCTTTTCAGCTCTTCCCTCATCCAGTAACAAGCTGCTACTTTACATGAAGGTTAAACTAAAATTTAAAGAATACTGGTTGGAAGGAACACTCACATGTTTCTGCCAGGCACTTTCTATCAACAGCTAATGTGTCCTTTAAAAGCATGAGTTGGACAAAGAATAACAGCAGGCTGGGTGGGAATAACTGATCCAAACAGGATGACTCCATTAAGCAGATGTTAAGCCATTAATTGTTTTCAGTTTTGATCTGAGATTACTTAGGTCAAGCCCATCAAGTTCAGGTCAAGCCACTGAAGTTTTACTTAAATTATATCTGGATAAATATTTAGATATTAATAACATTCCATGAAGATTTTACTTAAAGGAAATGCAGTGTGCATGTAGATCTTCATTCTTTTCAGTTAGTGAACATGTTGATATAAGGGTGGTAGGTGTGGGGAGGAGTGTGGGAACATAATAAACAACAAACCATAATTATCTCCAGTGACTTCAGGATCCTCCATCCTTTTATGCTGTGCCTTTAGGATAGGTGTCAGCAACTTTTTAGAGGTGATGTACCAAAGTTTCTTGATACATTCCCACCTGAGGGGCCAGGGGAACAGTTGTGGTTACCACCTGCAGGTCTCATCTGCAAACTAAAGTAATGGACAAGCTGAATCCATTAGCAGAGACACTTCTAGAGACACACAGGAAGCATGGATATATAATCCTAATAATAGCAAGAAATGGTCAGGAGGAGGGAGAATCCAAAAGGAAGATTTCATGGAAAGGCAGGCTCCTGCTTTTTGAGAAATCCTGATAACTCATGGAATAGTCACACAGTAAGTCATTATCATAGATCAGAGAATGTTAAAGCTGGGAGAAATCTAGTGATTAAGTCTATTGTTTTTAAATCCTTTTTGGAGTCACCTATCCTTCTAAGTCAGAAGTTAATGGACACACACACCATTTTGTACATCATTTCAAGGAATTTCAGCATCCTCAGAAGCCTAACCATGGATTTTGACCAAGGAAGCCAAGTTAGAAATGTTGATCTAATATAAGGCTCTCCCTTTAAAAGTAGGGAAACAGTATAATTAGAAGTTAAAACTTAAAGAGTAAATAGCTGAAAGCAAAAAGATATGACAAAACAAAAACAAGTGTGTCTTTCACAGTATGACTGCTCTAATTTTTCTTCTGTGTAACTTTTTCACTCTTTTGGTTGGATCTCTTTATGTAGAATGACTTCTTGTGGGGTTTTTTTTGTTTTTTTGTTTTTTAAAGATGACCGGTAAGGGGATCTTAACCCTTCACTTGGTGTTGTCAGCACCACGCTCACCCAGTGAGCAAACCGGCCAGCCCTATATGGGATCCGAACCCGGGGCCTCGGTGTTATCAGCACCCCACTCTCCTGAGTGAGCCACGGGCCGGCCCTTGTGGGTTTTTTTTTTTTTTTAAAAATGACCGGGAAGGGGATCTTAACCCTTCACTTGGTGTTGTCAGCACCACGCTCACCCAGTGAGCAAACCGGCCAGCCCTATATGGGATCCGAACCCGGGGCCTCGGTGTTATCAGCACCACACTCTCCTGAGTGAGCCACGGGCCGGCCCCTTGTGGGTTTTTTTAGTGCTACAGATAAATGCACTTCTTTTTCTTCTGTCAATGAACTCCAGATCAGTGAGGTTCACCTAGTGACTGATCTGCTTCTCATTTGTAAATCACACACCTTTTGGAGAGTTGCACATTCCCCTCCAAATCTTTCTTACCTCTTAAGGGTGATCTATCAATTGTCTTCTTCAAAACAGAGAACGCATGATTGAGGAATCCAAAGTGGAAGCAGAATTGCATGCTGAACGCATCGAAGCTCTAAGAAAGCAGTTTCAAACTGAGAGAGAAGCTGCAAAGAAAGCGGCACAACGGGAAATGACTGAGGTATGGAGTCGTGACAAAAAAGTTTCTCTCCAGGTGAATGCCTCTTAAGAGGGTAAACAGCTGAAAGATTTCAGAGAGTGCTGCAGTTGTGCTTTGGCTCTTCTAATCCCCATTTGATCAGAAGCAATTGAGCTGTCTCTGTGTTGTTTATAAAGCAGCACACAAGAAAACAGTTTCTGATACAGAGTTCTCTATCTGGCAAAGGAATGCCTTGATGCGAGCTTTTCCATCTGAGAGAGAAAAATGGGTGGAACAGAGGAATAAGGAGATGGCCATCTGATAGATAAAAATCAAATAACCTGTCCCTCTGTTCACTTAACTAGCACCCATTATGCATCTGCCTTTTCCTGAGAGGCACGCAGAAAAGCAGGAGAAGATATGGTCCGTGATCTGGTGTGTGTTAAATGGCCCTTATTTAATTGTGATCTCCCCTATGGACATGAGACAAACAGAGAAAACATCAGAGAACTTGTCTAGGATAGCTAGAGGCTGTGCACAATTTTGAAGGAATCCAAAGTAACAAAAAGTTTATTTTAGGCTGGTTGGGCAATAGAAGGGAAGCTTAATGAAAGTACAGGATTGAGACTGGCAAAGATGGCAGGACTGGACACCCTATGTAAGAGCATGAGCAAAGCTTAGTTCTAAAAGGAATAGGACATGTGAGCAAATGAAAAGGAGACTTTCTTGATAAGAGCAGAGACTTTGGCAAATATCAGATAAAGAGTGGTAGCTTAGATGGAACCAGTTGACAGATGGCCTTGACTTCCAGACCATTGGATGTGAACTGTCAGGTAAAAATGGAGCACGATAGGTTTCTGAGCAGGGGGTGGTATGTTGTAAGCACAATTTTAGGAAGGTAAATTTGACAGTGGTAGAGAGTAGGGAAAAATGAAGAGAAACTGGAGTCATGGAGGCTCAAGAAAACTAACAGTTAATTTAGGTGTTAGATGATTAGGGCTATGCAAAGTAGTTCTGTTGAAAACAGTTATTAAATTAGGAAGCCGTTTTAATGGAAAAATCATCAGACATTAAATGTATCATGAACAAAGGAGAGGGAGGAATTGAAATAATTTCAAGACTTGATTGAGGTGGCTGGTCTGTGCTTTGACAAATTTGTAGTATTTAGCATTGCAGTTGACAGACGCTATTCATAAAATCAACTAATAGTATATAGAACAATTTTGTGAATTGCAAAGCACTATATAAATATAAATATGTCATAAAAAGCAAATCCTGTAGGAAATAAAAAGGTGCACTAAATGTAGAAACGTACCTTTAGTCAGACAGAGATCATTGTGCAGAATACTTATAAAACTGATATCCTTTTAACAAGGGTCAGTGATGATGGTGAACTGTGAGTCCCAGCTCTACCTCCTCTTACCTATGTGTTAAGTTATCATCTGAGTAAGTGACAACTTCTGAGTCCCAGTATTCTCAATCATAAAATGGAAATCATCACAACTCCTTTCCAGGCTTGTTTTGAGGATTAAATTGGAGAGTATTTGTAAAATAATCATCACAGTGCTTGAACATAAGTACAAAGAGATAGTTGTTAGGGCTTACCCTGTTTTAGACCAAGCTGTGATTGAGGCAACAGTGGACTGTCTAACAGGGGGTTAGTAGGATGGTGATAAAAGACTGTGGTGTAAAGTCAGGATCTAAAGGGAAGAACTATTATTGAGAGAAAAGGTACAGATAGCCTTGACTTCATTCTTTTCTGTTAAATGCTACCAGCCATAGAGAACACCACCTTCCTACCTTCTCCCTTCCCAATTGCCTCTTCTTCCTGTAATTCAAGTGACACTGATTTAAGGGCTCATTAGGAGGAGCAGGACTCTATAAAATTAAAGTAATCATTATGCTGTTTTTCCACAAGAGAAATTTATTAAAATCCTTAAGAACAAAAAGCAATATTATAAGAATACATACAGAGATACTCAATAGCTGACAGGTATTTATATAAACTACCGTATAATTCACTTTCACGTCTCCAGAAATGACAAAGGAAGAGAAGAGCTTATAGCACGGTAGTAATCACTGAGCAAGCACTGTATGCCAGGTTCTACTTTATCTTATTTAACTGTTATATTTAGCCTGTGAAGTAGGTAGCCATACACACACTTTTCACATGATGAACCTGAGGCTTAAGTAATTTGATTACCCAACATCACTCAGCTGGTACGTGGTGAAGCTGAGATTGGAACTTAGGTCTGTCTGACTCCAAAGCCATGCTCTTAAAATGCAAATGATGAATATACATTTATATTCTTTATCTATTCTAAGAAAGATTTTGTTCTTTAGTGTTAAAAATTATGAAAATCACTTGAACTGTTGCTCTGTAAATCTGCTTAGTCAGATTAAAATTTTCCAGTTTTTTTTTTGTGTTCCCTGCTGAAGAAAGTAAAAATGTTCCAATTTTTTCGTTTTTGTTCCCAGCTGAAGAAAGCCCTTGATGAAGCCAACTTCAGATCAGTGGAAGTGTCCCGTACCAACCGAGAGCTGCGGCAGAAAGTTACAGAGCTAGAAAAAATACTGAACAGTAACAACGAGAAAATAAAGAATCAAAAGGCCCAAATTAAGCTCCACTTGTCGGCTAAGGCGAATAATGCTCAGAATATAGAGAGGATGAAGGTTGTATGAGAAACCTGAAGTTTCCCCTCACTTCTTTAGTATCCTCTGAGGATCCAGGCAGTTCGTGGTGTCTGGGGGAGATAGGTTTCAGAACCCCAACAGCAGCATGTATTTTGTGGGAATCAGAGCCATGACTGGGAAGTGTGCAGATTGCGTTTGGGGGAGCTTTCTCTTTTTCAGTGGAGATGTTGCCATGTGAATGTTTGATTTCTCATTTGCTGCCAGTGTCACATTCTGGCTCCCCATCTGCTTCTTCCATGTTTCTTGTACTGGACTTGCTCTTTTGTGGTCAGTGGGCCAGATGGGAAAGAGAGCCTAGCAGGAGCTGATAAATTTGGGTCTCATATGGGATTCTGTCTGTCATCCTATAGGCAAAAAGAGCAAGCCAGTTTTCCACTGATCATCTTTTTATGTTATTTCCACATTTACTTTCAGCAAATAGAAACAGAATTGAGGCAAATGGAGCTAATTAAAGATCAATATCAGAAAAAAAACTATGAACAGGTACATGATTTCCACAAACTCTATATTTACTATTCACATAAAATCCTAAACTTTTACATTTGGTTTACCAGATGTCTTCCTCTTTATATCCTACCAGTCACTGAGTATTCAGAGATTTGTATCTGAAATGACTAACCTGCAGAAAGAGATGCACATGTTGGCCAAGAGCCAGTATGATACCTCGGCACGGAACAAACAGCAAGAGCTGCGACTAGAGGCAGAGCGGAGAATAAGGCAGGAATTAGAGATCCGGTGCCAGGTATAAGGTTTCTTAAGATTCATTTAAAGATTATCAGCAAATGATATATGTGCCAAAACCCAGCATTATTTCATCTCCATTTTCTAGATTCTATAGAAGAAACATACATTTACAAGTTGTTCATCATAGCTAAGTCCTTAGAATAATAGTTTCTAGAAAGAAGCCTGTAGCTTTGAATATGGCAAATGTTTTCCATTTTCAGGCGAGATTGGGTGCATTCAGAGTGGTATGGCCATGGACTCCATTTTCTTTCTTTCTTTTTTTTTTTTTTTTTTTCTTTTTCCGTGTCCGGCAACGGATCGCAACCCTCAGTGTCGCCCCCGTACCGGACCGGGACCGGCAATGGGATCACAGCCCTCGGTGCTGCTCCCACGCCTCGCTCAGCCAGTGAGCAGGAACCGGTCTGTATGTGGGATCCGAACCCTCAGCGGGAGCGCCGCCATGCTTCCCAAGCGGCGCACTACAGCAGTGCGCCACCGGGCCGGCCCTCCATTTTCAATTTAATACAAATGATGTTCATTTTTAAGGAACAGCTAGAGTTCACATACACAAAATACCAGTTTCTGAGTAAGACTTCTGAACTGAATTTCACAGTCTTTCAGCAGTTTTATACCACCCGATTCTTCCCCATACCACAGATACACCTGTTGCTGTTATAGGACTCTTAGCTACTCCTAACCTAACAAGAAGCATAACAGTATATTACCGAAAAAGGATTTCAAGTGATCACTGAGCTCTTGTCTTCCAGTAAGGATTGTCTGCTATGAAAAGTATCCCTTCAGTTCTGAAAAGAGATGTTAATCACTTTATCTCTGCATAATCCATACATCAAAATCAAAATCTGTAATCATATATATGTACAGATTGTAGGTTGAACTGAAAATAACGGTTTTCATTCTTGTATTTTGGTAGCACCTGAAGTTAAAAAGTACCCCATCCTACTTTTGTAATTTGGTTGCCCATTTATTACAGTAGTGAAGTTTGTGGTTCCATGTGGTACATTGGAAGTTTGTAAAAATATGTGTATCACATTTTCAGGAATTGGAAGAAACTGTCAGACACCTGAAGAAATGTAAAGAGGCAACAGAGAATAAACTGAAAGAAGCCAGTGTGGAATCAGAACAGGTGAGCCAGACCCATGGAAATAAAGACTTGGACAAGTTTACTTCACAACAATCCCGAAACACATAAGTCAGTATGAAATCCTTCATTAACATAGTTGTTAGGAGTACAACAGGCAAGAACAAATAACCTACTAAGTATAGTCTATATCCTAAAGAGTAAGTAATTTTTAGATTAGGATTCTGTATCCTGATGATAGATAATAGAATGCTAAAATCTTATTTAAACCTGAAGTTCAAATTCCTACCACTAAATATAAAGAAAGACCAGCATGTGTGTGGATTTTAATGCATTATTGTTTGACATGAGCTAATGAAAGTGGAAGCTCTTTGTTAAATTAATAACTAAAAGGGTAAAGTAGGCCCTATTTAATTTATGAATTTGCTTTCTCTGTTCTAAAATTGGACTTTTTGAGGATATTTAAAATTATACATTTTTAGAGCTAGAAAAGATCTTTGAGATCATTAGTCTACCACAGCCACCACTCATTTTCCAGATAAGAAAACAGAGATTCTTAAGCTTAAAGTGTCATAGTGTCACATTGCTATCAAGTGATCATGATTTGTCCCTGTTATAACCATTAAATTAAATTACAATATGGCTTCCAGAATGGTATATTAGAAAGAATATGGACTCTGACAAACCTGAGTTTGAATGCTAACTGTGACATTTACTGTGTTCTCTTAGTTACATGTACTTTCTTTTACACATCAGTTATAGCATCTGTAAAAAGCAGGATGTTAATACCTACTACTGTATTATTTTGATAGATAGCTCAGATTAAGTTTCAGTGAATGTCAGCTCCCTTCTCATTCACCATACAATAAGAGACATAATATACAATGCTATTTCAAGCATCTTTCCCTCCACTCCTGGTAACAAGTGCTGGAGAAAGGTGAGTCAGATACCCTGCTAGGTGAGGGAGCTAGAGTGAACAAGCCAGATGAACAGCCTCTACTCTCATGGAATTTGTCTTCTCCCAGCCGAGAAATACACATTATCAGACTTCAGAATCAAAAAACAAAACCTATATCCATGAGACATAAATAATCAAAGGGGAAAAACCAGTTATTTTACTTTTTATTCTAGGGGACATGTTCTGGAGCTATTTTGAAGAAACTTTATATATAAAGACCTATCGGCTGTACTTCAAAACACCGAAGTGTTCTAAGTACACAGAAGAGTGCCAGGAATATATAGGCACTCAATAAATATTTGCTAAGTACATGAATACTGATCCCAGATAATCTTCAACTGCAGACCATTAGAGGGTCTGTTTTCATGTCTAGCAAAGATAATTTGGAAGTTTGTGATTAGGAGCCAAAGTATAAAATATTTTGATGATAAAGGTAATAAAAATAATACAATGTACACTAAGTTGGTCCAGTTTTTAGTAGTTTATTCTATTACCTTATAAAGGACAACAGAAAAATCTAGCCTTTACAGTACATGAACTTTGAAGAAATATTTAATCTTAGAGAACAGAACTAAGAAATTCAAAATATGGTTTGAATTACTACATTCTTAAGAAGTCCTTCATGTATATACGTTTATTTTCAGTGCCATCTTGTACTTTCATTCTTATTTTTATCCTGGATCCTCTGTTACCTTAGTTCACATCCAGGAAACATTAACAAATGCATGAAAAGCAGCAAACCTGCATGCATCCTTTGACCCCTCATTCAGAAATTACTTTCTCATCTGTTGGTTGTTAAGTATATCATGCAAATAGTTTGCAAGGACCTTGCAGTCAGAATTTGGGTCTTTTAATAACTAGATAAAAAGTCTCGAACTAATACACAAAAACTTGTAACTGTTTCTTTGCTGTAATTTTAGTGATAACATTTATATTCAGATAACAGCTAACCTACAAGAAGCTCACCGCTGGTTTAAGTGCAGGTTTGATGGCCTACAACTTGAGCTGACAAAAAACCGGTTGCAGAGGCTTCCCCGGGAAGACAGGTGGCGGGAAGAGGTAAGGTTAAGACATGGCTGTCTTCAACAATTTTGAATTTGTTCCTTCTCAGATTTCTATTTACAGAAGTTCTCTCTTCTAATCTTTGGATTTCTTTAAACTATAGCTAGGAAACCAATGAACTAAATTTTTTTCTTTAAAGTTTCACCTCTCCCAAACTGTCTAGATTAGAACCACCTATCCTGATGAATAAATGACATTCATAGAGTCAAAACCGGTCCTTAAGTGCTGCTATTAGTTTTGAATGGTCAGTGTTAGGTGTGTTTTCTTTCCAACAGGAACAAGATATAAGGCACGATGTTGTATCCAGCCAGTCTGCTCTACATCGATGGGAGACGAAACAGAATCTTAAGCATGTGCCCAGGAAGTGTCATTCTGAGGTAGAGAGGAAGTGATGTCCTTGACAGAGGAGCTTCTTCATGGATAGCTACACCTCCATGACTCCACAAGCCCAGCAACTAGGGCTGGCCTGTTTCTATAGTCATGAGAACATGAAGTCTTTGATGTGGGCTGAAGATTTTGGACCTGAATTCATCCTTTCATGAACTCTTTTATATCAATATCAAACCACCCCATCTTTTTCGTCCCTTTTCCAAGTTTCCACCCAATAAATGTATATTAATTTGTTGTATGATAACAGATGCTGTTAAATGATAGTTGACTGTTTTTCTAGGTACATTTTATCAAGAAGCATTTAGTAGGGTGTTAAATGATATGGTTACTAAGTGATCTGATACTTTGTTTCAATGAAATATCCCAGTCTAACTCCAGTAGTGGACATAGAATCACCTGGAAAATGGTAAAAACTATTCTGCTGTCTTATAAACATACACTTCTGTGCTGGGTAATTACCAGCCTATCTTTAATAAGATTAATATCTCTATTCTTAAGTAATACATCTCAGAGATTGTATTTACAGCTTCCTAGGTCATTTAAAAAGAAGTTTATTGGATACAGCAGTCTGCTCTGCTCAGGGACACTATGCCTGACCAATGTAGCTCTTCGTTACTATATATAGTAAGCAATAAATTCAGCTTTGTCTTTTTTCTTTTTTCTTTTCTTTCTTTCAACTTTGTCTTTTTATTTCAGATATTGAGTGGGGGGTTAGGTAATCCAGACTTAATATATATAAATGGCTAGTATAATACCTCATTTAATTAATGCTCAAGTAATGGAGCTGCTAATCATAACTATCAAGACCTAAAATCAAGTAAGCAATTATGAAATTGGAAACAATATCAAATATGGGACTGTCAGAGGTTGATGAACCCACCATTCAATATCTAATATAAAAAGACAAAGCTGAATTTATTGCTTGCTATATGGTAAGGGAGAACTGTGTTGGTTAGGCATAGTTCTCCCAGATCAGAGCAGACTATTGATCTCATATAGGATTTTTGGGAACATTAAATTTAAGGATTGGAAGACTTTCAGAGGCTTAAGTGGGCTGAGATCTGTAGAAGTGTAGTTACTTGAATGAGACTGCTGTTCTCTGATTGGCATTCAGAGGAATGTTTATTGGATTGGACCCATTCCTCTTTGTCTGACTTTCAGAAGTGAGGGGCTGTCACTGGTTGGCAGGCTTGTAAAAGTATGTGCACTAAAGCAAATTGTTATTGATCTAGTAGACAAGTGTAAACTGGTTCTGGTAGCTGCTTCTAAGAGTGGCTTCAGAACAACAGACATCAAACAATTATTTTGTTAATCCAGGTACAACGTGAAGTGTTAGCACTTGTGCAAATACCTTTCTGGTTAGAAAAAGAAAATTCATAGCCATTTTATTACCTATAACTACTTTGGTGCTTTGGTTTGAATGTGTCCCGTCCAAAATTCATGTTGAAACTTAATCTCCATTGTGGTGGTATTAAAAAGTGTGGCCTTTTGGGGCCGGCCCGGTGGCGCACTGGGTAAGTGCGCTGCTTGGGAAGCGCGGCGGTGCTCCCGCCCGAGGGTTCGGATCCCACATACAGACTGGTTCCCGCTCACTGGCTGAGCGAGGCGCGGGAGCAACACCGAGGGTTGCAATCCCGTTGCCGGTCCCCGGTCCGGTACGGGGGCAACACTGAGGGTTGCGATCCGTTGCTGGACACGGAAAAAGACAAAAGACAAAAAAAAAAAAAAGTGTGGCCTTTGTGGGGAGTATTAAGTTGTGAGTGCAGAGCCCTCATGAATGGATTAGTGCCTTGAAAAAGGGCTGGAGAGTACTGGATTAGACCCTTTTGACCTTCCACCTTCCACCAGGTAAGGACACAGCATTCCACTTCTGGAGGATGCAGCAACAAGGTGCCATCTTGGAAGCAGGGAATGAGGTCTCACCAAACACCAAACCTGCAGGCACCCTGATCTGGGACTTGCCAGTCTCCAGAACTGTGAGAAATTTCTGTTCTTTATAAATTACCCAGTCTAAATATTTTGTTACAGCAGCAGAAATGGACTAAGACATTTGGTTGAGGAATTTAAACTTGTTCCCTGTGTCTCCAAGACTTGGGCTCCATTATTTACTGGGTCAGCCAAAGTGAGGGAACACATTTTTGATGATCTCCTTAAGTTGTCCAACTCCTATGGGATAAGTCATTATCCTTTGTAGTCTTTTCCCATAAAGGGATTTATCTCTTTGGACTCTTTATAAGGAGATATAGTCAATTGAGGGTATTGGAGAGTCATAATCTTGAAAGTCTAAATCAGGAGCCCCATAGAATAATCAACCATAGTCCTGGGGTGGCACTGAAAACCTTGGCCCTGAATTTCACACAGGAAAAAATATCCCAGTTACTATACAGGGATCAACCATAATGGGTTTTAAATTTATTGCCCCTGATTGTTGTTATAATAGCTTCAGTTCTATGAGAAGAATATTTATTTCCTCCTTATCCAGACAAGGACATCTTTCTTCGGTTATTTATTATCCTACAAAGGTGTCATTATTGATAAAGTTAGTGTAACATACCTTTATATCATTTTTTAGATTGGCTATATGAGCTTGGGAGAAGGGAATTACAGTTAGACTGATGAGCACATCTAGTAAAGCTTACAGTTGTTATTAGTAAAGGGGATGTGATAAGTAAATTAGAACTTCAACCAGTAAAGAGAAGAGTATAACCAAAAGAATAACAGACAAGAGTGTGTAAAAGAGAATGTGATAGAAGAATCTTGCTGGTCTTAGGCAGAAGTTGCCTATTTTGTATGGTCATCTACTTGTTCTGAGGATCTTGTGTTAGCAGTCAACTTCTATAGATCCTCTGCTTCTGGAAGTTCTCTAGAGAACTTTGGGATCTCTTATGGGCATAACTTTCTAGTACTGTTAAGGCCTTTCCTATTTTTCCATTGGATTGAAAGTGATATGGGCAATGAGGATTCTGATTAAAGGGCAAAGCTTGTACAATTCAGATCATGAATAACTGTTCGAGTTTAATGTGTCCCTGTATCGTTAGATATAAGGAATGCCCTTGGTAGGAAACAAAAAATATAATCATTTTTTAACCATTATAAGTGCTGTGGCTTTTTGACAAGGGAATGCTTCTCCCCATCCAGAAAATAAATATACCAGTATTATATATATTTAGAACACAGAATGAAGTAGTTGTATAAAATCCACTTGGATATATTCAGAGTCTTTTAAGGTATGGTTCCAGTTCAGACCCCATCTTTACAATTTTTCCAAGTTAATTTCATTGCAGACGAGACATGATCTGGCCATATCCTTTGCCATCCTAAGAAATTTTCCATCAGTATTTAATATTGTGGCGAAATTTTGCTTACTATGATAGATTGTTTTATAGAGGATTATAGCAGGCGTCTATTTGAAGTTTTGTCTAGTGTTACTGGGTGGCCATTCTAGTTGTGCTACATCTTATCGTCAAGAATCTTATAACCCGATCATTCCAAGAAATTTTGCTTACTATGATAGATTGTTTTATAGAGGATTATAGCAGGCGTCTATTTGAAGTTTTGTCTAGTGTTACCGGGTGGCCATTCTAGTTGTGCTACATCTTATCGTCAAGAATCTTATAACCCGATCATTCCAAGTGTTTCTTTACAGAATTTGGCAGTGGGGAAGATTTAGTGTATTTAAGGCATATTCCTTGAACTTTTCCGTGGATTTGTTATTTGAGGGGCTTTTGTTGTTGTTGCAGTATAAAGTGTCTTTGTGAGAGGACTTAGTGTGATGATTTGCTGAAGTAATTCATATTGTTCATTGTCAATGGATATCTGAGGAGGTTAAGAAATGTTTTTGTTTCAAAGAAATGAGTTATTCTAAAAACATTGCAGCTGCTAGTGTGAATATTCATTCTTTAATTTTCACAATTATTCATGCCCTACCGAAGTCCACACTTCAGTCATTTTAACAATTGGGCCTCTGGTAAGGACCACACTACATAACCAGCCTGATATTAACTCTTTTTGTTTTTAATGTAAAATCTATCAAAAACAATATTTATAAGAATTTGTTATTAGAGCATGCAAATGTTCTGTTCAAAGTGTGGGCACATACTTTTTGAGTTACTGAAATGCTATAATGAAATTATAAAATTGCTGGGTTAAGACTATTAAACCAAGTCTTCTGCTTCTGACCAAGATGGGGTAACAGGGACCAGATTACACTCCCACCTGAAATAACCAAAAAACAGACAAAATATATGAAACAATAGTTTTTAAGACAGTGGATATCACACAACAAAGAACACTGATCCCTGAAAGGGAACAAATGAGGTGATCCCTACAACTGCCCCAGCATACTGAGGAGGAATCAAGCAAGGTAGAGCACAGCAGGTGCCCTAAGTTAAGGACCTGGAGCTGAGTCCAGAGAGACAAAGGAAAGGCAGCTAAAGTTCCAGGACAGAGCACCAGAAAGGAGAGAGCTGCACAGAGGGATCCTTTCACTCACCTGCAGAGGGTGCTCTTAGATTATTCAGCTGAGTACTGGTCAGCACACAAATGTGAGGAAACTATCTAGGGCTGGAGAAAGAGCCATCCAAAAGAGGGAAAGCTAACCCCGTGTGCCTGGCACACAAAGACAGTGCCAGTTCCCACCACCCAGAATTGGAAATCTCATGGGTGTTAGGTAGAGAATACGAAAGGGTCTTATCTCAGTAGTAGAGCATAGTTATCCCTAGAGGGAGCACTACTGTGGTCCCACTTAAAGAATCTTGAAAGACTCCAAATTATCTGTTTCCAAGTAACTGTTCCAGAACAAAGCTTAATAATATTTAGAGGAATACAAAAACATATGGCACCCATTGAGGTAAAATCACAACGTCTGGCATCTAACCCATAATTATTAGTCATACAAGGAAGCAGGAAAATACAACCCATAATGAGAAATCAATCAAAATTAATCCAGAAACAACACAGGTGTTAGAATTAGCAGACAACAACATTACCAACAGTTTTTATAACTGTATTCTCTACGTTCAAAGAGTATCAAATACTGGATGGTAATGAGAGATAGTGACAATAATTCATAATTATGTAATAGAAAAATGATGGGTGGTTTCTTTTAGCAATACTTAACAAATGTGGTAACATAAGATTTAAAGGGGATCCTAATACAAGATCTGTAGATGCCTTTGACCAATTTTTTTAAAAGAATTTATCATACATACATGTGGGGTACAACATTGATTTTCAGTAATTGTG